TGTTTTATTGCGAAAATCTGCAGCTACAGCTAGTGTTGGTGTGTTGTTCCTCATTACTTTGATTCCATTCAAAATCGGTTCCTTTAAAATGCGGCCTTTAACATTCTATTTTGCCAAAGACGTGGCATTTGGCGGATTCTTTGGCAATAAAGATTTAGCGGAAGATAAATCTATAGATGATCGTTGAGAGAGGTTTTGGAATTCTTATCCTATATTTCGACATGGACTTATTATGGGGATTAGGATTACTTGCTATAACTCCTCTTCGTGTCCTTATTGTTTACAAACTGGATTCAATTGATCAAGACATTCTTTATACAAATGTAGTAACTTACACTTGGCCGGCTGTAATGTTTCTAGTAACCGCCTTATACAGTACAATTTTGGCGAAAAAATGAAAAAAAGTCTAGCAGGAGATGGTCAAATGGAGGCTGGTAGAATGGAAGCTGGCCAAATAGATGATGATCAAACGTAGATTGGTCAAACAGAATCTGATCAAGCGAAGACCGCTGCTGCTAATAATAATAAATAAGTTATAAATTTAAATTTTAAATTAACGCATATAAGTTTCACAATTTGAATTTCCACACATTTGATTTATTTTTATAATAGATGTAAATACTAATATATTAATAAAAAATAATCGTAAACCATTATTAATCTATTAATATGTTCGGCTGTTAGTTAGCTTTATTAGTAAATGTTTAAGTTCCAATGAAACTCTAAACTATCAATCTTAAAAACCCTGATCCAATTATGTGTTTGTAATAAGTAGTATTATCAATAGTGAATTTAAAATAATCGAACTTAAATTTATAATTAAGCTAATTGTCACACTCTTGAGTGTCAAATCAGCTAGGACTGCATCAAATAGCAAACAAATTTTCAGTAAATTTTTTTTTTTTTAATGCATAAAGATTGTTAGTTTTATTTATTTAGAATTTATTTAGATAATTATGACAATTATGAATTTATCAAATATGAATTTAACAAACTTAGACTATATAATACGTTCAAAAATCATCAAAAAAATTAAAGTCAATAATGCCTCCTTTTAAGTTTTCTATTTATTCTTTTAAGAGGATCCAAAAATATTGATTCATGATATAATATACATATAAATTGATTTTAATTATTATCGTGTAGTTATCCACAAAAAATATCCGCAATCACCAAATCGATTTTTAAATAAGCACCCAATCCACCAATAAAATTGAGTTATTCTCATAATGCTGCGCAAAATTGCGGATAATTATATTTTAATTTGAATCATTTTATTGTGCAACAAAATAAATAAATTTTTTTTTTTTACAAAAAAAAAAAAGAAAATTAACAATGACTTTACCACCTGAGCTTTTAGTCAAAGTATCTAAATACAATAATTATGATTACAAAACATTATATTCTTGCATTCTTGTCAATAAACAATGGCACAGCATTAACATTCCAATTTTATGGGAAAATCCGTTTTGTTCTAAAGGCAGCACAAAAATAATAATTAATTGTTTATTGGAAGAAGATAAGGATTTCTTAACAAGAAATGGCATTGAATTGACTTTTGAGCTATTGGATAAATCACCATTATATAATTATGCTAAATTTTGCACTAAATTTCATTTCAATCATCACAGTTTACAATTGCTGAAAAATGCCTCCAAACCAGGTATTTTACAAGATAGGTTAATAAATTTTACTTTAGATCATTTAGCAGTTATTAGATTTTTTAATACTTCCAATATAGGTTCTTATCTGGTAAATAACTGTCATAGATTTGGTAGTAGTTTTCAGTATCTTAATGAATTTGTTTGTTATAGTTCCAAGTATAATCCTGTTAGTAATGAATTTATTAATAAATTAGCAAATATTTGCAAGTGTATTCAATTATTAGGAATATATGGCACATATAAAAATAAACTTGATGATAGTCTGATTCAACTAATTAAAGCACAAAATCAAATAAAACAATTAGCCATTTGTTTAAACATAAATCGTGCTTTATCAGATAACTTCATAAAAGCAATTCTTGCACATTCACAATCAATAACTCATTATTCAAGTAATGGGCGCAACAATATTGATCATATATTATTACCAACACTTAAAAACTTGAAGTTTTTACGATTAAGATTAAGGAATACTTCTTCTTATAGTGGTGATGAGTTAAAATGGTTGAAAAATATTTTACAGCCAAATATTGAATTTATGATATTACATATTCATGGGCAAGGATTTCTATCAGATTGTCTGATTTTATTAACACTAATGGAAAAACTCTTAGATATCTGAGTGTTTATGGTAGTGAAAATGATAATAAATTTTTGGGAAAGTTATTTCAATCAATTGCACAACAGTGTAAAAATCTAGTAAACTTATCAATATTTTATAATGATAAAGTAAACCAGGAGTTAACAGGGATATTCAATAATTGTATTAAATTAGAAAGCATTACATTTTATAATTATGTTGATTATTTTTCTAACGGTGCATTAGATGGTGATAAAATACTTTCAATACTAAGTCAAACATTACCAAAAAAATTAACATTAATAGTGTTTCCTTGTGAGTTTTCTACTATTAATGTCAATTCTTTTGATAATCTAATGAAGAATTGGAAAGGACCTAAACCTTTTACAATAAAGTTCAATGATTATCAAAGATCAATGGATTAATAAAAGATTTAGGATTTTTAAACCACATTTTATATTATTTTGTCTATCATGTAACTACCAAAAGTGTAACGATCCTCGAAATAATATGTCACACAAATGGCATTTAATTTTATTACCATATTTGGTAAGAGGAATTCATTTTTTTTTTGTTACTTGGCAATCGGGGATTTTTGGTGAAGAATTATACATATTATTATTATTATTATCATTATTATTTTTATTTATATTATTTATAATTAAGAAGTTATCTTTAAATTATGATCAATACTTTCCGGGAAGTCTATAAGCTTCCATACAATATATAAATTATATATTTCTTTATTTCTTTATGATTTATATTTGTATTTTAAGATGTAAAATTCAAACAAATAAAGATAACTTTTATATAATTTTACAACAATAAAATTATCAGTTCATTAACAGTGTTAAATAAATATCTAAACGTTTGTAAATAATTGTGATAATTATTTGAACGTTTACAGTGGTTTATGAAATATGACTTTTTTAATTAATAAAAAATGGGCCAAAACCAAAATTCATGCTGAAAACAAAGTTTGTTGAACTGTGGGTTTGACTGTACTTTACTGTGACAATTAAAACATGTCAAAGAAGAAAATATTCAATATCAATATAGAAACATGCAATAAATAAATATGTACATATATTATAAAAAAGCAAATTCTCAAGTAATTTTATTGATCTATTTTGCGATTCTTTTTGTTTGATTATTTCAAGATAATTATCTACAAATTCAATTTTATCAGGATAGCAAGTTTTTTGAATTTCACAATCTAACAAGTGCTTCTCAATGCTTTTCACTGTGTTTGATATTCCTAAATTTTGAGCTTCTGTTTTAGCATTACTGAATCCTTTTCTTGTTGTACATCCCTTATAGATTGCAAAAGAATTGCTCTGGTTTACCTTTATATTTTTTTCAGTATAAACAAATTCATGGAATACAACATGATTTGGTTTTCCGCCAAGCTTTCTTGACTTTTTTCTTTAAAAACAAATTTTTACCAAAATGGGTCAAGTAACACTGGAATAATCATTGGAACACCGAAATCACTGGAATATGAAAATTCCAGTGTTCCAATGTGTCGCATAATACCCTTATTCTATCGAGTGTTCCAATGTTACATGATCACGGAGATATAATGGAAATATTCTGGATGTCATTTTTTACAGGGGCAATAATCCCATACTAATACAATTTGAAAATCAAGAAAAAGTGAAAACTTGACAAAAATTATCCAAACAAATCAAAATGAAATTCAATATTTCTCTTCTCTTTTTGATTATCTTTGCTGTTGTGGCTTTAGCAAGCCCAATTGATAACAATAATTTGGTGAAGCGAAGTACATCATTTATTATTATATTTACTATTACAATAAATATCATTATATTCGATACCATTGTTTTTGAAAAATACTAATACTAACTATTGGTTTTCATTTTGTTTTAAATAATAAATAGTTCCATAAGTATTTTTGTACTATTATTACAGTCAATATCATTGTTTTTGAAAACATATTAATTATTGGTTTTCATTTTATTTTAAATAATAAATATAGGAAGTAAGTATTTTCATCATCATTATATTACAGTCAATATCATTGTTTTGAAAACATATTAACTGTTGATTTTTATTTTATCTTAAATAATAAATATAGAGTGTAAGTATTCTCATCATTATTATTACATCCAATATTATTCTTGAAAAATATTAACTGTTAATTTTCGTTTTAGTTAAATAATAAATAAAAGGTAAGTATTTTATCATTTACTACCATTGCCATCGTTTTTGTAAACATTAACTGTTGACTGGTTTTCATTTTATTTTAAATAATAAATAGGCAAGTATTTTTATTGTTTACTAACATTACAGCCAATATTATTTTTGAAAAATATTCTGTTTGATTTTCAATTTATTTTAAATAATAAATAGGCAAGTATTCTCATCATTTACCATTATTACAGTCAATTGTTTTGAAAAATTATTAACTGTTGATTGATTTTTATTTTATTTTAAAATAGAAAATAGAGTAAATAGACTATATTCGCTCTTTGACTTTTTGATAACTTCATTTGTCTCTTTGACTTTTTTTACTTTCATCTTGTGTTTATCTTTCTTTTTTATTGTTGATTATAATTTTTACGTTACTTAAGATTCATGCAAACTATAATGTTTATATTATAACATAGGAAGCGAAAATAAATAAAACAGTTCATACAATAAGTGTTTATTATAATTTGAAAAGATTTATATGTCAATTTAAATGGGAATGAAAATGAATAAAGTTACATCTGATAAAAGAGTTAAATAATGATAATAATACGAATTGAATACCTTTTATAGATAAATATTAATATGTATGCTATATCTAAGATAATATATATATTTAGAAAAACTTAAGGTGAACCTTAAAAAATAAAATGTGTTAATATTAATATTAATGTTATGCTTCGTAACATTCTATTGTTATTAATTTAACTCATCAAAAGCTGCATCCAGTATCCTTAATTACAATATAAACTAGAGTAACGAGTTATATACATCAATAATCACCACCACCATTGAAAGATTTTCTTTTAGGAAACAGTTGGAATTAATATGATTGTTTTCTGAATGTCCAGATTGCCCCTTTTTTGAAATTCATTTATAATTATAACGTTTATTTAGACTTAATTGAATTACAATTTATATAAATATGAATATTATTATTAATTGGAGGAAACATTATATAAAATTATTAAGAAAATTATAACTCTTGAAATAATTTAAAAATCCTAAATCTCGATATTTTTTTAATATTTTTCTTGATCCATCATCACCTTTATTACCATTTTTATGAAGCTTAATTGTTAAAGGTTTGGGTCCTCTCCAATTATTCATTAGAATATTTAATGAATAGTCATTAATATTAAAAACCCCACAAGTACAAATTATTGATCCTAATTTTTTTGGTAGTGTTTGATTTAATACTGTTAATATTTTATCACCATCAAATCCATCAAATTCCTGCCGAGAACCATGAAGAGCAATATCAAATGTAATACTTTTTAACTTTATACAACTATTGAGCACTTCCATTAATTCCTGGTCTAATTCATCTTCATAAATTGTTGATAAAATTTCTAAATTTTTACAAGATTGTGCAATTGATTGAAGTAGTTTTCTCACAAATTTGCTATCTCCAGAATCATAATATTTATTCTTACTAACATCCAAATTTTTAAGAGTTTTACCATTGATATTAATAAAATCAGCCAAGTCTGATAGGAATGGTTGATTTATACTATTCATATTCACAGATTCAATATTTGGCAGTGAAATATTTTTCAAATTATTTAGTCCATAATCAATAATTGTTAATGATAAAGTTTTTAAATTTTTAAATGTTGGTATTAATAAATCATCCAAACTATAAGAAGATCCATAAAAGGTTATTGATTGTGAATGTGTTAATATTGCTTCTTTTAATTCATCTGATAAAATTTGTTCATTTCCTGTATCAATAACTAAGTATTTAATTTGCTTTTGTGCTTTAATTAGCTGTGCTAAGTTATATATTTTTTCATCATCATTATAATAATATATTTTTAATGATTGAATATTTTTACAAACTTTTGTTAATCTACCAAAAAATTCACCATGATCAGAACTAAAACATACTAATTCATAAAGATTTTGAAAGATATTATCAAATCTATGATGATTAATTAACAAATTACAATCAATGAAACTAGTATTAAGCTCTCTAATACCTGCTGAATGATCTAAAATAAATTCTATTAATTTATTTTGTAAAATTTGTGGTGCACCAATTTTTATCAGGCATTCGAAATCATGAAAATTGAAGAGTATAGTACTAAATCTGGCGTAATTATATAATGGCGGTTTCTCCAATAGTTTAAAAGTTAATTCAATGCAATTTCTAGTCAAGAAATCCTTATCTTCTTCCAATAAACAATTAATTAATATTTTGGTGCTGTCTTCACAAAGAAGTGGATCTTCCCATAAAGTTGGAATATTAACATTGTGCCATCGTTTGTTGACTAGAATACAAGAATGTAATGTTATATGGTCATTGATGTATTTGAATGTTTCAGTTAAAAGTTCAAGTGGAAAATTAAGCATTTTTAATTTTTGTTGCACAAAATAAATGATTATCTAAAATACTGAAATAGACAAAAAGGCGGACTTGGTTGAATTTATTGTACTAGCAATTGATTGAATTGACAGTCAATTAACTAATAATTTGTATATAGGGAATTAATCAAAGTGCATTTGTATTACTGTTGTAAGTGAAATTGAAATTTATAATTCAAAATTTTGGCGTGGGTGAATATGAAATTCTGATTGGCTAATTTGAATTTCACGGATTTCATTTTCACGCACAACATTACCAAGGGATCAAACTTTTAATAATCATCAATGTAATGGTAATGTGGTCGTAATATCTGTTTTTTACTTTTTTATTTAAGATTATTTCTGCATAAAAATAATTAATATAAAACTCATTTATATCAGGTCTACTATATAACCCAAAAATTATTATACAATCAAAAGTATTTTGAAAAAAGAACAAGGTGAAAAAATTACTCCCTATATTTTCAAGTTAAATGATACTCAGATACTCGAATCTTATCTAATGAAAGGACTATTTATGAAATTTACAAAGAATTTTAATACAATATATTAACTAGAATTTTTGATGTCTAATTTTCCTAAAAATAATAAAATATAGCCGCGTAACAATTCTTTCTGATCGTACACCACCAGATCTAAAAAAAGTGATTAATAATTATAATTAGTAGTATAATTATTATTACAAGAATGCGAATTTTCTACTTATTTCCTAAAAATAATTATTAAAAAATAAATAAAATATGGCCGCGTAACAATTATTTCTAAAAAATGATTAATAATTAGTAGTTATTACAAAGAATATATCATATTTAATATTAAATAAAATATGGCCGCATAACAATTCTTTCTGATTTCATTTAACCATTAACCTTTAGGAAGAGAAATCATGTAAATACCTTTTATTTTAATTATTACATTCTTAAATATATATATAAAATATTAATATAAAAATAGATACAAAAGTAAATATTAAAAAAAAAATTATGTTACCATTACTTCATAAAACTGTTTTTTTTATAAATCTCTCTAAAACTAATTAACCAACACTAAATAAGCTTGAAAAGCAAGTTTGTAAATATACTTGATGAATGCTTTATCTAATCGTATGATAGGCAATATTCTTTACACCTATTACCATATATTTTTGTATCTTGGTAAGGACTTGATCGAATTGAATGATCTTAGATTCAAAAGAAGCCTGAATTCTATTGCACATAATATTCAAACTTATTTATAGTTGATATTTAGTAATGTTATTTAATATTGATTTTAAATCACAATTCGTTGACGCATTTTAATAATAATAATATTATTAAATATCTTTTACATTTCTCTTCTCCTTTTTTGACAATTGTTATATTATTGTTGCTGCTCATATTATCTAATTAATTTAAAACGTAAAAGAAATTTTAAAATGTGTAAATATTATAAATATATAATTATTTGCATTTATACTTTACATTTGGACGCGTCAAAAAATTTTACTATCCAATTTTATTATCATTATTTACGACATGCGACTATATAGTTAATTAATTAACTATTATACATAATAATATTTTCCGTGTGTTTTCCATATTAGTGTATAAGTATGTTTTAATCAAGTTATATTTTACAATAAAATGTTTTGTTTTTCAGTTACTTAATAATAAAAAGGTCTGTTTTTATTTGCGACTTTATCAGTCACTCAATAATATTTCAGAACTATAAAATCTTATTCTCACATTCTATGTATTTTTTATTAGTTGGATTAAAATAAAAATAATTTTAATTCCAAGTCATGTGTCCACTAATTTGTCATTGGTCAAATTATTTATGGAAACTATTAATTGTAATCTAAATCAATAAAAAAAAAAAATTTTTTTTAAAATTAACAAAAATGGCAACGTTTGACGTTATAAAACAGTTAGAAATGGCTGAAGAAGAACATGGAGAGGTGAAGAAGAAGCTGGAAAGATTGGACAATTTGAAGAGGGAAAAGGTAGAAGAAGAATATGAAGGAGAAAGGGAGGATTTAGAAAGTGAAAAAGTAAGGCTGGAAAAGGTGAAAGGTGATTGGAGGGGGAATTGTCAAAATGGAGCAAGGAATTGTTAGAATGTTGAAAGATGATACAAAAATTTGAGGAAAAAGGTAATGAACAAACAAATTACATAAAAAAAAAAAATACAAAAAATTATTTTTCATTCATTCCATTTAGTGTTTGCACTCATGAGTTTCATGAGTACAAAAACTAATTCCATTTCATTCATTTATTTATCCATTTGACTTTTTCTTTCCACTATCAATTAGTATTTTTTTTTCCTTCAATAATTTTTTTTAAATTGCTTTTTTTCTACCATATTGTTTCACCAGGAAAAAGAGAACATGATGATGAACAAGGTAAGCAAGCAATCAATGCACATTTATTGGGAGGATAGTTGGAAGTTATCAGTTGGGGTAACAAAGCTAGGTTATACATAACTTGCTTTAATGGTGAACAACATGTTATCAAGATATGATACATTTGGATTAAATAAAATAGGAGTAATGGATGAGGATAGTTCAAATGCTGTTACAACAATCACTGAGTCATAGAGTAGAGCATTCACCCAGTTGTCTGTTGTCCACATCAGTTTACAATAATGTTTAGTAAATTCTATTTGCAATGTTTGATTAACCTGTTTTGTTTTTTAACAGACGCACCTAAAAATAAGGGAATATCAAGACTAGGTATAAAGCTGTTGTCTTTAACTTTCATGCTAATGTGCATTTGATTCATTGTTATTCACTATTTTGTATTGAATAGGAGGTCTTGGAGGAACAACTTACAAAGGACTGGAAGGTGTTGACCTTACTAGTGCTACTGTATGTCAGAGAGAACCAACTATTAACAGACTGCTTGAATGTCTGTTTAATGAACACATTATTCTAATTAGATCACCATCAATGACAGGAAAAACATCCCTTGGACAACTACTTGGGGCCAAGTTGCTCCAATTAGATGAAGTGCAGAATGGATCAGCTTGTGTTTTTCGTATTTCATTGATCTGGATGGAAAACTTGATTGATCCTTCATGGACATTTGTGGATGGATTTCAAATGCTTATGAATATAACATGGAATGAGTTTCTCCAGCAATGTGGTGATAAAAAAACATATTTGATTATTGATGAAGTGCAACAAATATATAGGAAAGTGAATGGAGAACCTAATCATACTAATGGAATTAAATGATCTATCAACGGCATATTTTAAAGCATTATTTAATGCTGATGCAGTGATTGGCAAGTCAGTTAGAATAGTTGCCAAAAGAGTTGCCATATTAGGATGAATCATACCAGCACCTTTGCAGATTCCTGCCATATTATATTTCAAACCAGATGAGGGCAATGTAAATTGACCAGACCTTAATTTGGGAAAAGTATCAGTTGTCATGAAAGATTTCAGCTGCCTCCATCCAACCATCATGAGTTTCAGTAGTTGCTTGTTGATAAACTTGATGGATTCCTTTTGTGATTTTATCAATTGGTAAATTTTGGCCAATAACACCTGTTGACATCACCAATGTACTAGATGGTTTTCCAGTTAATTTTGATACTTCATCAGACATGATTTTAGCATCTTCAAATCCTTTTGTACCAGTATGGTGCCAATCATCTATAGACATCAAATGCTGCGCCATTTGGTGAAATTTTTTCATGAGAATCATTCCTTTTATGGAACCGCGATTTTTTTTAATTCAAATTTATTAATTTATTTCTTTACCATATACTTATTTTTTTGTTAAAAATGCCTAAACAGAGTAAAAGAAATCAACATTTACAAAAAGCACGTGAAACCAAAAAATTGAAAATTATTGAGCCTATTACAGATGAATATATTGATAAGGAGGTATTTGAAAATGAATCTAGATTAGAAATTGAAGAGTTAATATATGAAAACATTGAATCTGATGATGATTGGAGAGATTTATCTTTAACTACAGAATTAGAATCTGCATTTTCAAAATTAATTAGAATTAGCAACAAAAGTGATACTTTGGAATCTAAAGGTAGACCTCTGATATATACTGGTGCAGCAGAAGAGACTATTAGACAAAAACAAAGAATATTAAAAAATGCTGCTAAAGGAACATCTAAAATAACAACTTTTTTTCAGGTAAAAAAAAATGAAAAAATAAAATAATTATCAAAATATTCAAAATAAAAAAATAATGTAATTTATCAATATTTATTTATCAGGCATCTTCTGGTAACATTAAAGATTCTAATCAAAATGAATTACAACAAAACCATTTATATTCAAATGACAGTGAAGATGAACTTGAAGAAAATATATCTAATTTTTCTCTAGAAAATCTTGAGTTAGACTTGCAACAAAAGAAGATAAATGATATTAGATTGCAATATGTTGCACAATATCTTCGTCTTACAAAAAATGGACATTCAAAGCTTTCTGCAAGTCTGCTTATTTCTGAATCAATAAATCATGGCCCTTGGATGGCCAGATTAATCAGATCTTGGGCAAACCAGTATTTATCAGATGGGGCTCTTTTGGTTTCTAGGCGTGGAAAACATCAGAAAGTAGTTAGTATTTTAAATGATGAAGACATAATTATAAAGATTAATCAATACCTTCATGTTCAAAAATTCAACCTTAAGATTCCAGACTTTATTAATTATATTTCTGATGAAATTTTTCCTTTTGTTGGATATGAAAAAAATAAGAAAATCAGTGAAGCAACAGCTAGACGATGGTTGAAGAAGATGGGATGGGAATATAAAGCTCATAGTAAAGATCTATATTTTGATGGTCATGAGCGACCAGATGTAGTGGAATATCGGAAAGAATTTATAGAGAAAATGGAATCATTAGAAAGATACATGCCAGTATTTGAAGGTGAAAATATGAATGAAGAAAAATGGCCTTCTTTGGAACAAGATGAAAAATTTCATCTTTTAGTTGTGCATGATGA